CCCTAAGTTGTTTTAGGATTCCGAGATTGTCATTTGTCACGACCTAAATCCTCACGTCTTTCAGGTTATTTGTGTGACTGTCTTGCAGAAATGTAAGCACTAATTAATAAAATTGACAGGACAAAACATTTAATAATTCTCCTAAAAATTGAAACCAAACAGTAGGATAGCTTAGGAAGTCATCGAGGTTTTCCTCAGGATCTGTGGCATTCCCCAGTTCTTCTTCCTTTAGATTCAAAAATAAATGTTCTAAACTTGAGTTATTTCCATTTCACACCTCTTTGTCCAATCTTTTAAAAAGTCTTATCCTTTGAAATTCTTTAAGACATTATCTCCTGATTTTTATCAAGAGTTTTCTTAGGTGACTTCGGTTATCTAAGATGTAATTAACTGTAGGGGATTGCCCATGTAGGAAACTTTTAAGAACCCTACTTAATATAAATTCTATTTTATTTTTTCTTACTAAATTGGGGAACTTGTCGGTCAACATAAAAAATTATGGTTTTTACAAATTTAAATGGATGTCATAAATTCTTTAGTTTATTCAATTGAGCCATTACCGGTAAGTAGTGTATTTATCCTTTGGGATAGATTCATTATTTGCTGTATTAAGCTTGTTTATTTAAACTACTGAGGATATGAGATCAGTCCGATTTTATATTTTCAAAATTTAAAATACTACTTATTCCCAAAGAAAATATATATAAATTAAATTAAACTGGGCGTCGAGATTCCTATTTCGACAGCCGATAATTACCAATTTGGCGACCGACAACTTAGCAGGACTGCTACCAGAAAAAATGTTCAGAATGTACCATCCACAAAGAGAAGAACCGAGGCATAAGTGAAGTTTCTAGTCCTTCACATTATTCTTCAGCCTTAATAGTTGGAATTTGTTGATAACAAACAATTGAACATATTCTTTTGGGCCAACATAAAACACACACATATTGGTGAAGAGCTTCATTGACAGAGAGGGTTTCTAACTGATGAAAAACATTGATCAAGGTCATGATTGCTTCTATTGAATTTGATAGTATATTGGTCTGAATAACTTCATTTTGGTTAAAAATGGCCTGCAACTCCCAACAAAAGGACCATCTCAAACAAAATTGGAAATGATCTTTGTAGAATATGAGGTCAGCTCCAGACGAAGTAGTTGCTTGGTCATTCTTGCCAACAACCTGAAGCTTCACGTTGTGGAACTGATGCACTACCCCTAAGTCTAGGGGTGTACTTTATTCGGTCAAAATAAAAAAAAAATTGAACCAAATTGGTGAAGTATGGTTTGTTCAGCTTGGTTTCAATAATGTATTTCAATTTCTGTTTTTTAAAATTTTAGTATTCGGTTTTCAGTCTTTGGTTAGGTTTTAATTTTCATTTAACCAAATGAACCAGAAAAAATAATCTCATATTAATTTTTTTATTCAATTTTAATTTCATATTGATTAAACTAAAAAAATAATATTATTATATGCAACATTTGATTGGAATAAATATAAAATTCAAAAAATTAAATTGATATTATATGGAAAGGATATGTAATTTATAATGCTTGATCTTAACCAAGCTCAAATAAACAATTAATTTCACTTTTTTCATAATCAAACTGTTTAAACTGAATAAAATATCAGTTCGATCGGTTTAGTTTGATCAAAATTTTGATTTTTCAATTTTTTTAGATTCAAAATTTTGGTAGCAATTAGTTTCACTAATTTTAAAACTGATCAATCCAAACCGACTCAATGATTACCCCTACTCATGTCTTCGTCGACCGGATTAAGGTAATGACTCGAATGCCTTGAGAGAATACTTTAGAACCATCAAGCAGAGTACAAAAGGAGAAATCCGAGGGAGTGAATAAATGTTAGGAAAAAAAATAAAGTAAAGATGTAGCGTCTCCAAACCGCACACCCTTATATATATAGGGAAACATAAAAAGTAGAACCATTGCATGAGGGCAATGACGTAGGTGTACGGTAATTTAAAAAATGTGCAGATAGAGGGATCACATCAACATAGGAATTGAGAAAATGAAGTATATTTATTTCTAAAAAAAGGCATTACAAATTACAAAAACACTAAGATGCTAGTCCCAGAGGAAGATTTTTACAAGGGAGTAGTTAGACGCTTCGACCAATATATACCTTAGTCAAAACAACCTTTTATACAAAAATTTTCTTCCAAATTTAAACTGGTTCACTCGATTCATCTCAACTTAAGCCCAGATTATGAAGTATCTCTTCTGGATATCCAATAGTTTTTGACAAAGAGTGACAATCTCCTCTTCCATCCTATTCACTTTTTCCACACGAGCATCTTCTCACATATCTCCTTGCCTTGATAAACCTTAATCAACCGAGTGAAGTTGCTCTCAATCTCATTCAAACAATGAGTTAGCGACTCAGGGGATATCCAATATCCATTAGGTTCTTACCTGTAGGTCTTGAGAGGACTCTTTTGGCGGTCAATCCCAACTTCCTCACTCAAGAATCAATCACCCTTGACTGGTACCTGGGTAGCCAATACTGGCACAATGGTTGGGTTCTCACCAACTTTTGTTGTTAACTGTGCCAACTTACAACAAATATAAGCGATGAACTGAAAAAAATCAAAATATAACAAGCAATATCAAGGCTCCTCATACCAAGGTGTCGATCCCACTCAGATGATGTGACTAACATTGTGCTCTCACCGGGCAACAACATAACACCAATAAAATTTTTGTGCCCTTAAGGTGATAAAACATTAGCAACTTCTTATGCCCGAGACAACGACAGAGTACAAACAACTTCTTGTATGGTCTATTCAACCGATGTGTCATGTGCCATAATAGAAGGTTGAGGTAACATACCGATGATTGAGCCAATCGCTTGAGCATTCCTCCGTATGGTTTTGAGGAATGAATTTGAAAACCCCTCCTGATCGAAAAACATAATCGCTTTTCTCCTCTGAACAATTGTTTTATTCATCTTTTTACCTTCCAGGTGACTGTGCTTCTTTGGTCTCTTTGAAGGCAACACCAAGTAGGTCTTTGTTGAGGATATCAACTAGGGATCTGACACGTTCTCCATTTACAATGCTCAGAAGTTGACCGATTTAAATAAGAGACATAGGGCAAATATGGAATATAAAGAGTCCAATCACAATGTTGTTTTCAAGAAGTAACAAAATTGAAAAACTAAAACATATACATAAAAATGTGTCAGTGCTAATCCCGAGGAGAAGACTACAATGAGAGAGGCTCACCTACAGAAGAACGTGAGACCCACTTATCCAAATAAATACAACCATCTCAGTTAAAGCTAGCAAGATCAAAGCTGAGTGAGCCATGAACAAAAAAAAAAAACGATCAAATAACCTGAGTCTAAACCATCCAATTTGAAACGAGATAAAGTTCCATTCGAGCTAACCACCATGAAGAAGCCAACTTGAGAGAAGATCCAATTCCTCAGTATCTCCAATCATATCGGGGATGATCAGAAGTTCCCTCATCTATTATCAAGGGTTGATAGCCGGACTAGATCAACTAATAGACAACACTAACCATGCCTAGCCGACCGAACCAGTCCTGTAAACTCGAAGCCAATCAAGCTCAACAAATTGAGCCAGAGAGCAACTGAGCGATAAACATATACATGTAAAATACCAAGAATACCCTATATAACCCTGTTTAAACAGAAAAAAAATGTAACAACATGATATTCTACTCTTCTCTTTCCCATATAAATAGTGAAATCATTTCATGAATAAGATACGACGCATTAATGTTCATTACTATTCACCGCTCTTTGTTTCTCTCTATATGCTGACTTACGCTCTATTCTGTGAGTGTGATTTATAGACAATCTTGATTCAACACACACACACACACACACACACACACACACACACACACACACACACACACAAATGCACTTTTATTTAAACTTTTTGCTTTTAATTTTTCATCTAAACCTCTGAACCACATCATTAGCTTGAAATAATGAATTATTTGATGTTGTTTTTATAATTTTCATTTGGGTAAAAACTTTTCTTTTTCATTGAATTATTTTTTATTTGTTTCGGCATCATTTCACTGACTAGTAGCTGTGCTCATCAATTTATTAAAAATAATATTTTTTATTCATTTAAATTTCTACCTTATTTAATTTTTTTTGCAATTGTTAAAATTAATTTTTCTCCTCTAATCAAATTGCTGAAAATAATATCCTTTAAAATTTTTGCTTTAGCAGCGACTTTATTTGAATTATATGCTGCAAAAATAAAATGTTAAAAATGTTTATAATTGATCTACAATTTGCTTAAAATAATGCAAACAATTAAGTAATCGTCAAATAATTCTTCAAGAAAAGAGATTAGAGGACTAAAAATGTTGATAATAATTATATCTATAGATATAGATTTGAATAAGAATGTCAAGATGCAAATTTGATCCGGATATATTTTATAATCATTAAGTTTTTCTTAAATGAGTATAAAGTTAGTTGTATGATTAAACATATATTTATTTTCTCTTGATAAATCTAATTAGTATGAAATTTAGTCTAATCAAATATACAATCCAATAACAAATAACATGTAGTAAAGCAATATCCTTAAACCCAAATAAAAATTTTGAGGATATTTTTAAAATTGGTGATATATGCTCTCATTAAGTTAAAATGATGTTTGCTTTATTTTTTTATTTATTATTTAAATAAATTATTATTTTAATAAAGGGGCATTCATAATTCTTATATGTCAATATATCTCACACTTAAGCTATCTTATTTAAAAATATAACACTCAAATCTTTAATATCACATAAATAGTTGCACTATTATCACTTTTTAAAAACATAATATATTTTTTCAAACATAAATTTAAAATATTAATATGTTTTATATATAACATGAAAATTTTGACATTCCAGACGTAAATACATGAGAATATTGGGCTGCATGTATAAATTTCCCTTTAATAAATTTCATTCATGCAAATTTTTTTGGTATGCACAAAAATAACAAATCGATCGAGCAGAGGGAAGCAAGTTAGAAAATGGCTGGGGGAGAGAGCAGCACAGGAAGCGGGGGCGGCTTCAGATCCCGCATTGAGTACTTCCTCTACAGCGGCGATAAGAAGCACGTTTTCGCGGGCATTGCTATCATCTCGGTCATCTTTGGCGCTCCTTGGTTCTTCTTGAATCGAGGTATCCTTGCTACTCTTTCCAGGATTCATTAATGGAGGTGTCCCTTTACGGATTTTTTTGCTTTTTGTTGATTTCAACGGAGCGAATGGCAGGCGTCTCTCAAGTTTTAGTTTTTGTAATGCATATTTTGTATCTATTTTGATTGCTTTTGGAAATGCTGTAAAGTATCAAAACCCTAGACGCACTGGTGCGAAGCACGGCTCTGAAACTACCGGAACTACAGACGCGCGAAACTTGGAGGTTACAGATATGTTAGAGGTAGGGGATATAATATAACATTACAGATAAGAAGCACGTTAATTCGCAAAATATGCATTACAAACACAGAATTGAGAAATGATTTAGTTTTTGCTTTTAGACCTTAATGCATTTTTATTTATAATGGAAGACAACGAATGTGGTTTACATGCATGAATTCCCACACGCGCTTCCCCAAATCTCCGATGACATTCTCAGATAGGTATTTTTTCTTGTGATGTTATAGGAGGCGTATTTGTAAATCATTAGAGTTCTCCCTCAAATTTTTGAAGCGCGTAGCAATTGAGAATCTGGAATTACTAGAAATTCTAAATGAAGATAGGCAGTAACTTTGTATGCTACTTATTGGTTTTAGTGCTGCATGATGATCATGAAACCTTGTGCATGTCCTTTTCGTTTTGTGTGATATGTGCCTCTCTGATTGATTTAGGAGTTTTGAGACATCCAAAGCTTTTATTAAATAAATTTCCCTTTTTCATCCATCAATATAACTTTTCAATGTTGTATTTTACGTTTACTTTCGTTCTTCCCTCCCTGGCTGCAATTGAGCCGATTATGTCTTGGATTGGAGTTGGCTTATTCATATTAGATGTTCATACTTTTTTTGTTTAAACTTTTGATAATTATACCAGGCTTGTAATTGATTTGCCTATATTTATTTAATGAGCACTTCAATGTGTTAATAAAGAAGTGAAAATTTGAACGCGTACTTAACTTTTCATATACAATTATTAAAAATTAATTTTACAAAACAAGCAAGCAATTGAATAAATTCCAATTTAGTTTCTAACCTTTACATCCATTAAATAAGATAATATATAAATTTTTAGCAAATTTTCTTGCAATCAAATAACATAAATAAGTACTAAAATATCATTAAATTAATGAATAAGAAGGGGTTTCATTGAATTAATATGCATATTTTGTAATGGCAAATAAATTAATTTGAAAAAAAATCTAAAAGTAAAAAAAAAAATTTGAACACTTATATGAAAAATAAACATTTCTTGTGAAACAAGCATATACATCAACTCCTCAAAATAGTTGCATATGGTGGATAATGATGGATTGATTAATTCACATAAAGATGTAGTATTTAATAAATTAGATTAATTAAGATATTAATAAAATAACTATGTAATTAACATTTAATTATAAAACATTATTGATATTAAATTATAATATATTATTATTAAATATGTAATTAACTAAGTTTTAATTAATCAAAATTTATTTAAATAATATATTATATATGATATGAGCTTTAATCAAATTTAATATCGATTGTTAACAAGTTCCTCGTTGAACAATAAAAAAATGAGTTGGATTGTATTTAAACTTGGTTAATTTAACCTTCAAAATTTTTGAAAAACTTTCAAACTTTCTTATTTACTTATTTGAACAAATTTCATTAAGTATTATTGAACTTGAGTTCCAGTTGTTTATTGAGTGCATTGATTCGTTTATAAATCTACTTGTTTCCTTAAACCCATGAAAACTATGCCTCTAAATGTTATAAATTTTGAATTTGAAATTTGTAAACAAAAAAGAAGCTGACTTTTCTTTTTTTTAAATTGTTCCTCGATTTTAAAATTCAACTTTAAATTGGATTTAAAAGCTTGTTGAAACTTTCCTACTCTCTTTCCCCCAATTTGAAAATTTCCTATCATTTATTTACTTCGAAATAACAATTCTATTCTATCTTCTTTTAGAAATCACTTCAATATATCATCCCTTTATTTCAATTAGAATTTAAGTTCAATGTTAAATTGAATTGAAATGTTGGATGCAACTGTTCTATCCACTTTCCCTTTTTTTGTTGAAAATTTCACATCTATTTTTAAGAATAAATGTAATGAACAAGAGAGTGCAAATTATAGTTGAATTAAGTTAATGCGTCATACATTAAAGTTATGAAGAGTAATTGAACATAAGTTATGACGTAATATAAAAATTTCTCAAAATAAGTTTTGATTCATGCTGGGCAAGCCTACTATGAAAGCTATACATTTATTGAAAGGTTCAATTGAGAAGTAAATAGAGATTATGGATGTTATATAAATAATTTTTGTTGATTTAGAATGCATTGGGCCTATTGTGTGATAGAAATTTACTGCTCATACTCAGAAAAATTTTATAAGATGGTGGTGAGACCTACAATGCTTTATGGTGCAAAATTTTGGCATGTGAAAGGGAAGCATAAAATTGAGTAAAGTTTTGTTGAGATGAGAATGATCTGGTGGATGAGTGACATGCGAAATGAATATATTTGTGAAAGGGTCGGAGTAGCTCTAGTGGCAGACAAAATTTGAGTGTATCCTTAGTTGGTTTGGTTTACATTAAAGGTCGACCATTTGATGACCCAATTAAGAAAGTAGAAGTTTTAGAGTTGACTTATGCTGAGAAAAGTAGAGGTAGACCTAAAAAGATTTGGGCATGTTGTATAAATAAATAATTTTCATTTATTAGAACTAAATGAAAATATGACAATCAATAGGACACAATGGAGAAAATGAATTCAGGTAGCCGACCCCACTTAGTGGGATAAAAACTTATTGTTGTTTGTTGTATTTAAGCATCCGTTCCATCCAATATTTTTTTTTACAATCACCTTTGCATATACTACACATTTCGAGTATGATTTCATTTTATCCTATAAGTTAAACCCCTATAAATCATGAATAAAAAGATCATTTAACCAAATAGATTCATGGAGACTATAAATAAGTCGGAATGGCTCACTAGCTTACCCAACCGTTCGTGTGGGTCAATGACGAATAATGGCATGCGTCATAACACGTGGCGCCGTCAACATCATTGTATGGTGTGACACGATGTGTTAAATGACACTTGCTATTTGCTTCATGCACGAACAATGCTAAAGCGCACTGACTCTATGGCACGTGTTATAGTTGATTTTTTAGATTTAATATAAAAAATGAAGAAAAATTATGTACATGTAATTCAATTATTTAAATATTTGCATATCTAACATCTAATATTTAATATTTATTTATATAACACATAAAAATACTAATGCTAATTTTTTTTAAAAAGAAATACAAATTTTTCATAAATATTTTTTAATGTGATCATGACACAAAATGTTATATATTTAAATATTAAACTTTAAGTATTGAATATGTAATATAAGACTTATTTGGTATTTGTGTTAATTTTACGATACACACAAACACACACACACACACACACACACACACACACTTACATATATACATATATGGGGCAAAAAATATGTCCACATTATGCCGTTCGCATGATAGTTAACTTCATTCATTTGATGATGATGATGATGATACTTTATGGGATTATGATAATACTGATGAAAAATAAGGTTATGATAATACTGATGAAAAATAAGGTTTATTTGACATATAATGATGATGATAATTCTTCATATTATCAATATAATTACTTATTGATATTAGACTTGTAAAAAAATAAAATATTTTGAAATTTAAGTAGTTGAGGTATTGAGCACTTGATTTAAGCATTATTTTTGCTGTTTTTATTACCATGTAATTCTATCATTTAATTTTATATTTTTTCATGTATATCTGATTTTTTAATATTTTGTGCCGTATTTAAAATAATGCGCGCAATGCCATGCATTGTGCATTATGACTCTTCGTAAACCTTTGTGCTAAGGTACGTCATTTGCACTATATTAGATTTTGGCATGTGGCATGGCGCGGTGCCCCTTAGGCTCCATTTGCATGGTGCGGTATGATGCATTGAAATGACTTGTGCTATTTGTACCATGCATGAGCAATGGTGCATGAAGCATTGCTGCCATGTCACTCACTAAGTTGATTTTTTAGATTTAATTTGAAAAAAAAGTACACACATACAATTCAATTCTTATATATTTGCATATATATCATCTAAAATTTAATATTTATGTATATATTACTTCAAAAATGCAATTAGTAATTATTTTATGTGAAATATATTATTTTAATGAATATGTTTTAATGTGATTATGACACATTATTGTATAACTAAATATTAAACTTTATATGTTGAATATGTAAATATATAAGAAATATTTGTTATGTATGTAAATTTTATAACACACAAACACACATACATATGTACATTTTTGGGGCAAAAATCTGCTCACATTGTGTCGTTCGCATGACAAGTGCGCTTCATTTGTTTGATGAGTATGATGTTGATGATTATGCTTTATGAGGTTATATTGATGATGGTGGGAATAAAATTTATTTTACTTATGATGATGATGATAATTCTTTGGATGTCCATTTTAATTGTTCATGAAATTATTAAACTTCTAAAAAAAAATAGAACAGCTTAAATTTTAAGTAATTGAGATATTGAACACTTGAATTAAGTATTATTTATGACGTTTTTATTGTCGTGTCATTTTATCTTTTAATTCAATATGATTTTATATTTATTTATGTTTTTTTAATAAAATTTTAATATTTTGTGTCATATTTAAAATGACGCGCGCCGCGTCATGCGCTATAGTGTGCCGTTCACCATTTAAGCATGCAACCAACTTAGAAATTGAACCGACCCAAACATTGAGATTCTAGCTCACAGGTGCATTCATGTGAGTAGTATCCATACCATTGTTTTGGGTTTTTTTTTTTCATTTCCTTGCCTCATTTGAAACCACCGTGCTGTGTTCTCCCAGTATTTCTTGCTGCTGCCCATCCCAGTCCAGCGCCTTTAGAGCCTCACTAAAGCCTATA